GAACAAATCATCTGTTCATAGCCTTTATTTAGCATTTCACTTTAACTCTTGGTCGCCTAGCAGAGCTGTGAAATGTCCTTGAAAAGGTAACCCAGTTATTGAATTTTAGGGGAGGGGTTCCCCAACCCCTTAATTCCAAATGTATTTGAAGAAGCCAGTCATTCTGCAAACAGCTGTTTCTGTTAAGATACTGTGACTGACAAAGGGTAATTTTCAGCTTCCTAGGGTCCTTTTCTTATTCTGATGGATGGTAGAGCTTTCTCTTAGGAACATAAAAAAAAGTACATTTCACAGGGTTTTTCTACCACCAACTACATGGGAAATCTTGGATCTGACAGACTCACTCTCATAACTCCTAAGACTTAGGTGGGATTTGAATCTCTACAATGCTACTTTTCTCTCTCCGTCAAAGGCTTTGTACTCATTTGTCAAAAGCCTGAAGGTAGGAAAAAGGAAATAGATTGAATTGTGGAGGTTTTACAAATGCTCTGCAACTTTTCCCTTTGTCTGTCATCAACTTTTTGATGCAGATGTATTTCAGAAGTTTCATTGACCATTTTCTCCCCCTGCTGCTTTTTGGGTGCAATTTCAAAGCAAGTCGATGGGAAGGGCGAACTGGAAGATTCATGGGCGTAGTGGCTCTTATTTCAGCAGAGAACCACTTTCCTATTGAATCATTTTGCTATTTTCTTAACTCAGTAACATAGTGAAAGGCCAGAGGAGAATGATTTTGTTTTTAAGACCAAAGGAAATGGAAAGGAAGCGAAATTCAGGCAAGCATACATGAACTTGCACACTCATCTCTGCGATGCTGCTTTCATTTTCCATGTGTAGAGGAGGCAGAGAGAGACTTGTCTTTCTTTAACAAAAAAAAAAAAGATTTATTTATTTTGGGGGGGGAGAGTGCCAGGTGCACGTGGGGTGGGGGAGGGGCAGAGGGAGCGGGAGCGGGAGAGGGAATCCAACCAGACTCCCTGCTTAGCATGGAGCTTGCCTTGGGACTCCACCCCAGAACCCTGAGCCGAAACCAAGAGTCCGAAGCCCAACCAACTACAGCACCCAGCCACTCCATAGTAAGTTCTTTGTCTTGATAAGCCTTAGCTACTATCTTTTGGATAGAGCCAGCTCTTCCAGTGGATGGCAACTGTCACAAGTCTAAGACTCGTAGAGTCCTTTATGATGTGGTCCACTGAGCGCATGGCAACTCTGGACCTGTGGGTCTAGAAGGAGGGCTTGGGACACCTTCGATGTGGCTTGGGAACCTGAGGGGTGATTTTTTTTTTCAGACCAAGATCATTTCTGGGCTGTTACAGACCCAATGTGATAGGATATCTTGTGACCCATTCAAAGTGCTTAGCTGGTTTAAAGAAAATACTCGGACCTTTCTAGTCATTAGTTTTCCAATGGCCAAGAACAATAGGTGATCATATACTGTGCTGGGTCATCCCTCCCCTGGCTCCACCCCCACCCATCCCCAGGGTGTTTATCAAAGCCTTAATCCCCTACAAGGACCAAAAGCAAATGTTAGCAAATGTCAAAACAAAGCTTATCCCCCCACTGTAAACTCTAATGAAAGTATTTTGGCTTATAATTAAGCTCGGGCCTCTTGAAGAATGAATACTATATGGAAAAGATTTATTATCACTGAGTGTCATGCATGTAAATATGTTACCCTGAGTTCCAAAGTCATTTTGAAAAAACTTAAGAGGCTTGGTTTTCTTTTGAAATATTATGTTCCACAGATAACATCAATATTACATTATTTGGTCTCATCATCTATTGTTTGGATAGAAAATGCAGATTTTTTTGTCTTTTATAAGCTTTCTTTAACATAAGCAGCATTCTCTGGTAAGGTAGTATTGCTATGCATTTGCATTGTTATAGAATTAAATTTGGATTCTGTCGTTCAAAAGAGAATGCTTTATAAATCAAGTAAAATCTCATAACTAAGATGAACAAGGTTTTTTTGAAGTCTTATGGGGCCTCATATCCCATACTTGAGTTTTACAGCCCAACTTGATGTAATTATTAAAGTGTAATTCTCTTTTCTTTTTCTATTTCTGTGTACTGTTTTTGCTTTGTACAAATGTCATTAGTTTTCCAAGACAAAGCTTAAGAAAAGTTATTATATGTAAAGGACAGTAATATAAAAGCACAAAGGCAGGCAGTAATTCTTTATCTATAGATTGGCAGGAAATGTGCCAAATACACGACGTTCTCTCCCTCCCTGGCTTCCTCCCCCCTCTCTCTCATTGCATTCAATGTAAATGATGTTAAAACTCTAAATTGTAACAATGGTAAAATCCTAATGTATTCCTTTTCTCTTTATTGTTTAAACTGATCTATTGTTTGGAACTCCTGAATATAAGAGACAGCCCTCATTATAAAGCTTTTTTGGAAGGGGTTACAAACTGTGTTCTGTGTAAACGTCTCTGGTTGTGTTTGCCACTCGTCTGGAAAAGCTATCAAGGTGGGTTTGCAATCCTCAGGCAATCCTGCTCATCAGGTGCCTTATTTCTTTTTTCACGGCTGCTATGTAACTGTCCCAAAGCATGGGAATCGGAGCAATGATCCTAAATGGGGACGGTGCAGGAAGAGGAAAAACCGTCTACGGAGAAGGAAGGTCAGAAGTAAGTTATTTAGACCTGGTTAGGGGACAGGATCTCCAAATGCAGCTGCAGTTAGTGATGAAAAGCACTGACGTTCCAAAGAGGGAACAGAGACAAAGATTTACAATCTGAGCCAGTGCGGTGATAGAGGAAACTTTATAAGAACTTCATTTCTCCAGGGAAGAGAGATTAGAGAGGAGAGCAGAGGATTTAGGACCAAGCATTGGGGAAATCTTAATATTAGGGTATGGGAGGAGGAAGAGAAACCCCAAAGTATAAACTAGCATGCTTGGCTGTGGAGGCCACCAAACATCACTGCTTCCCCAGGGGCTGTCAAAATTCTGAGCCAGAGGACCCCAATCTATTACACTGGGTGGAGGGTGGAGAATCTAGGAACTAGAACCTTTGTGACTTTGCCTCCCTGCAGGTTGTGGTAGGTGTAAAAATGAAGCTTCTGTTTTCTTTTAGGGGCACATTAGCGGGGGGAGGAGGGAGGACCCTTGTGTTTTTGAACACAAATAAGGATTTCTGCACAGTCCTTTTATGTACTGAAATGATGTAGATATTCCTAAGTTTCTTTTATGAAATCAGAAATACTGGGTTAATACCATTCTCAACTCTTCCTACCAATAAATGCTTCCTTTTCCAGGATATGCAGAGAAATGTAAATGTATGTTTAAAGTAAGATATAATTTGATGTTCTAAATCATTTAATTTGGTTAAAATAAAGTGATCTTCAGGAGAAATGAAAGGACAAACCTGACAGAAAAAAAAATAGTGGCTCCTTGCATTTCTCAAGCCATGTTCTAAGTTATACTCAGCTTCTCGCAGTGCATCTGAGTTTGTGTTCAGTGTAGCTCCATAAAGTTTTGAAGGATGCACCTTGGTTTGCAGTGAAATTATAGGAATGCTTTAATGACAAGATAACTCCATGTGGAGGAGTGATTGTGGGAACCGTTTAGCCATCTTAAGTAAAGAAAAATTCATAGTATGCGTTAAAAACACTTGATGAACTAACTCATTTCTCCTGTGGATTCAGGTGCTCTAGCAGCTTGCACTCTTGGGTTACCCGCCTCCTAAAAAAGCTGCCTTTATTCTCCACCCCTCTCTCCGATAAGCTCATGCACTGTAAAGAATTTTAGCATCTGTGGGAAAAAGGATTGCTTACAGTTCTGCTTGTCTGAAAATGATTATTATGGGGGGTGGGTGTCTGGTAATACAAAGGGGATCATCAGCAGCCTCTTTGTATAGAGTTCATGAGTTAAACAAACAGAACACCAGGACACATTTGACATTGTGATAAATCTCTGTCCAGAGACGGCCTTTTCTGCCACATAGCAGTTACCATAATTAGCAGCTATGTCAGCATTTAGGCAACACCAAAGGCTTATTTGATTGCCTAGAACTGACATATTATCCTGTCTGGAAGTATGTAAGCCATCAATAAGACTTCAAAAGAGCCAAGACTCCAAAATACACTTTGGTCTCAATTATCCAAGAGATCTAGGGCCATTGCCTCCAGAACCTAAAGAATAACATGACTGGCAGGTATAAACATTTATTCTCTGATGAACAGAACATCACGGGATTTCAGGATGTTTCTCACATTGTATGAATCCAGGAAAAAGTATATTAGACCCAGAACGGTCCAGAAAACTGGATCTAAAATGTATCAGGTATATTTATGTGTATATAGTTATCTAACATTGTCCCTCAATTTTCTTGATTTTCTATATGCAAATGCAAATCCTGAATCTTATTTAACATGCATGACACATTGGGAAATTTTTATTTACATCCATAATGCTGTGAGAGTATCATAGTATTCCTACTCTTTTATGTCTTTTTAGAAGATTTATTTATTTATAAGACAGCAAGGGTCAGGGGGCAGAGGGAGGGGGAGAGACAGAATCTCAAGCAGACTCCCTGCTGAGAGCGGAGCCCCACACGGGGCTTGATCCCACCACCCTGAGATTGGGACCTGAGCCAAAACCACAAGTTGGGCATTTAATCAACTGTGCCACCCAGGCACCCTCTAATATTCTGTTTTTAAACATAATTTGATGCATATCAAAGTAGGGCAGAACAGAGCAGCTAAGAAAATGGGTTCTGGAATCAGACTAACTGGGTTTTGGTTCGGGTTTTATCACTTTGTAGCTGTGTGAATTTCTCTTAGTCTCCTTTCCTCAGGTGGAAGGTGAAGATCACAAGGGTATCACTCTTAGAGGGTTCGTCCAAAGACGAAATAAGTTTATTCATGCAAAGTTACAGCCCACCCACCCACCCACCACGTACGTGGAGCTGCATAAACTTTTGTTATTTCGTTACCAGATTTTTAGAAATATCAATGCCCATTCCTCTAAGCCCATTCCTCTAATTCTTCATTTTCAGGGCCGGTGTGCTAGAGAGAACTGCAAGTACCTTCACCCTCCTCCACACTTAAAAACACAGCTGGAAATTAATGGGCGGAACAATCTGATTCAACAAAAGACTGCCGCAGCCATGTTCGCCCAGCAAATGCAGTTTATGCTCCAAAATGCTCAAATGTCATCCCTTGTAAGTCACAGCTATGTCTTTGAAAAACTGCATATGTGTGTCTTTTTTTTTTTTTTTTTTTTTTTGCCCAAGAACATAGATCCAGACCAGAATCACCTTGTCGGGCTTTCAGGAATTTAGTTACAGAAGGATTAAGGACGATGGTGCTAATGTGTTAACTGACACTACAAAGCTGCTGTGCATGGGAGGGGGAGCATTGGAGTGTGTTAGGTTTAACACCTGGGTTGCATTTATCATGAATTCAGTTCATAGAAGGATATTAATAAAAGAGCAGGGGCATTTTAAGATGAAGAGGGGGTCTGATTGTTATTACAGGTAAGCCGTTGAATGAATTCTAGGATCTTAATTCAAACACATTTCATTGCTCTTTCATGGTGGTTTTGTTACTTTTTAATAGGCTTTTTATATTGAAATAATTACAGGTTTAGGAAAAGTTGCAAATACAGTACAGAGTTCCCGCCACTGTTAATTTCTTGTGTTTTCATGGCATGTTTGTCACTTTCTTCAGACTTCTGTTAGTCTTTCCTTTAGGGTCCTCTTTCTGTTTCAGTGTCGAACCCAGGGTACCACAGTGCATTTATTTGACTACTGTCCGCTCTCTCATCTGCTCTGTGACCGATTCTCAGTCTTTCCCTGTTTCCCATGACCTTGACATTCTTGAGGAATCCTGGGCAGGTATTTGATGGTGGTTTAACTTAGCCCAGCTATGGAGTTTCCCTTTGCAGGAATTAAAAAGATTATGTTGTCATTCTAGACCAGCGTCTGGTATTTTTGTGGATCAATGAGTTGAAATGGATCCTTTAAAAAGTAATTTTGACCTATTGAGAATTCATCTTGTCCTGATACCTTATAATATAAAGTTATAGTTTAGTCTTAGATCTTTCATTATTTAGATACCAATTTGAAAGGGTTACGTTGTCTTTATCTGTTACCCATTTGGTCAGTGACTATGTAATAAACTCTGTAATAAACTGAAAAACTATATAGTATTTAGATGGATACAACGAAAATGGTGCGAGTAGGTTAACCTGCTCTCAGCAAAGTCTATTTCATTGTAAATTTGCTTCTCGGAATTCAAGGAAATCAGTGTGGACAGGGCAATCCCTTCACCTGGTACATCTTTCTAGATAGTGCACAAAACAGGTGAAGGGACATTGATGAGTCACTGAAATTTTGCACCATGATCCACTTTTTCCAGAAGATCCAGACATCTCTAAGTAAAATGAGATTTCACCTCCTATACTATTAGTTTGCCAAAAACATTTGCCTTGGAACCCAGTGCTGATTAATTACATTGATAAATTAGTTGCCAGAAGGTCATCAGTGAGCTCTTCTGAGCTCTTCTTTGACCTCGTACAATACTTCATATGGTTTGGGTAACTGGGTGATTGGCATGAAGGAGGGCACATGATGTGATGAGTACTGGGTGTTATATGCAGCTGATGAATTATTGAAGTCTACATCTGAAACTATGTTGGCTAATTGAGTTTAAATTAAAAAAATACTTCACGTGATTGAAATTCTTCAAACTCTTTCGTTAGGTTTCACACACTGAAGTATTTTAGTTCTTACCTATTTCTAAAAGGGGTGGGGAAGAGAAGGTGTTCTAGGTACTGGGAATAAATAGTATGAAAACCACAGAGAAATGAATGCACGTGGTGAGTCCAGAAAATGTGAGTAGTAGGAGAATAAAGCAAGGGAGCTTTTCACCCACCATTATTACTACTCTTGGCCTCTCATGATGTCCCAATTTCAGACTGAGCAAAGAATAGGGACCAGATTGTATAACGCACCTGAGCCCAGCATGTGTTTTTTCTTAGGTCAAGGGACAGCATTGGAACATCAATCAAATGCCCTGTTTCAGGGAATCAGAGAGCAAGGCCTGAGATAAAGTAGGGGTAAGGGCAGAAGGCGACTATTCATCTTCTATTCAGCCTCCAGGAGAGTCTTTCCATTCCATGTCTCAACCATTCATGCATTATTGATCATGCTGGCTCACCCTGGAGACTAGGGAGTGGCCTTTATTTAGAGTCCAATAAGAGATCCATTGATCTCTCCAGCCTCTTGTGCTTTCTAATTTAATTCTCCATGCTTTCTATAATAGAGTACATTTCCTTTTTTTTCCTCCATGAGGGTAATTTCAGATTTCAGGCTGCAGAATATGACTGATATGACTCACAGGAGTACAATTTATTTTATAGCATATCGTAAGATACAAGACATTACTCAGAAGACCCCAGGGAACAATTGAAAATTGTTTTTCTATCTTGTAGATTATTTAACAATAGCTGTTGTGAAATGATAAACTGATAAAAGATTAATTTCTGCAGTTATTATGTATACAAAAAACTAACCCCGAGATGATTGATATGATCCTATTTTGTGGTCTACAAAGCTTTGTAGGCGTGTTGTAATTGCACTAGTGTGAGCAATTTTAAGTGACATTTACCAGTCTGATTTGAAAGAAATGTTCTTTATTATGGATCTTGATATAACCATAGAAGTAGCATATGATTCTACTTGATTTTTCTGGTACCTATACTCCCAAACAACTCTGTATCCCTCCTAACACCCCACCACCCTGATAATAAGATACTTCTCCGTAGAATAGTCAAGCTTTTGTTTAAATGTCCAGACCCATTATTTGTATGGTTGCATATTAAGACCCATTTGGTATCACTGGCTTGAACTTCAGGTCTTTCCACAAAGCATACTTTGATCCGTTTCTAGGATACCAAAAGAGCACATCTGTTTTCGGAAAATTGAGTATGGTTTGCTTATTATAAGTCCCAGATAAAGGGAATGTCAACCTAAATGGGATGGCAGCTAGAGAACAGATTCTGTTCGGTGTGACTGAACAGTGAATAAAAGCCATACCTAGTCAATTTGGGTGGAATGCTTGCTGTGGCAGGCAAGTTTGTTCACTGTATGTTACAGGTCTTAATTGACATTTGCTAGTATGAAATTCTGCCTCTGAAAGCTTTTGTTAGCTTTATTAAGGAAGTTTAGCAAGTGAGACAAAGGGCGTGACTCCCCAGTGTTTTTGATGCAGTTAAGAGATGGTTTCTGATGTTCATAGCAAAAAAAAAAAGTTTGAGAACTCCCCCTGGCATAATTAGGAGGCAAACGGAGCCCTGTAGAAGAATTTTAGGGAAATCAGACACACTGGATTGCTCTCAGGCAAAGCTAATGTTTTAAAATTTTAATTTCACAACTAGGAATTTTCATTACAGGAGGAAGGATTCTCACTGATGGATGTAATGTATGCATATATAAAGCGGATATGGTGTCATAAGTCTATTAAAAACATTTCTGATTTAGACATTTTGCATAATCTAGACCCTACCTATCCACGTCTAGGAAACTCCTTTAGTTTCTCTCTTTGAATGTGATGATGCACATGGAAGCAGTTCTTTTTTTTTTAAGATCTTATTTATTCATGAGAGACCACAGAGAGAGAGAGAGAGAGGAAGAGACATAGGTAGAGGGAGAATCAGGCTTCCTGCGGGGAGCCCAATGCGGAACTCGATCCCAGTACCCTGGGATCACGACCTGAGCCAAAGGCAGATGCTCAACCACTGAGCCACCCAGGTACCCCTGGAAGCAGTTCTTTACATGCAAGTGCGCTTGACTGATGCAATCAAGTGTATTCACCTAATGATTTATAGAGAGGTTGTTGGTTCAGCCATCAGGGTGTGCCAAGTGCCCTGGTCTGCTATATGTTTTACATGGACTACATTCCTGTGGCCAGGTTATGGCATTTCAAAACACAGAGGCTATCAACATGGGTTCCACTCCAGACTTTTCCTTCATTACATATAGTATCATCTGATGTCTTTCTGAACCCTCCCCACCTTTTTACATCATTTTTAGAATTCTGTGTACCAAATAAATTTCCCATAAACAAGCTCATATATAGCAAGGAACAAAGGTGATACAGTACCTCAGAACCAAAAGGGTAAATAATAGGTAGTACCAGTAGCTAGGAAGGGAGATACACTGACAAATAATATCTAGAGACCAAAGTTTTCAATGCTTTTCTCCCTCACTTAAATAGGAGTTCTAAGGTGTTCTATAATTCCACGAAACTGGGCTAGGACAGTTTTAAGTAAATAGAAGCAGAGTTGCAAAATAACCTATTTACTTTTTAGTTTTTTAAAATGTTAAGTACTTAAATGATTCAGTAGATAAAGACAAAGGATAGCATCCTTCCCTAACCATGATACATTCTACACTTTGCATATTCACATCAGAGTTACAGGTTTTTTTTTTTTAATTTTTTTTATTCATTTATGATAGTCACACACACACAGAGAGAGAGAGGCGCAGAGACACAGGCAGAGGGAGAAGCAGGCTCCATGCACCGGGAGTCCGACGTGGGATTCGATCCCGGGTCTCCAGGATCGCGCCCTGGGCCAAAGGCAGGCGCCAAACCGCTGCGCCACCCAGGGATCCCAGAGTTACAGGTTTTCTAGTTCACATACTTCACAAAGTATGTTCACATACAAAACTAACTTTATTGACTGGAATATCTGCTATCTCCCTATTGTCATGGACCTTTAGTAGAAGTTATCATGAGGGGCGCCTGGGGGCTCAGTCAGTTAAGCATCTGCCTTCAGCTCAGGTCAGAATCCCAGGGTCCTGGGATCGAGGCCCGAGTTGTGCTCCATGCTCAGTAGGGGATCTGCTTCTCCCTCTGCCTCTGTCCTTCCCCCCTGCTTGTTTTCTCGCTCGCTCTCTCTCTCTCTCTCTCTCTCAAAAATAAGTAAATAAAATCTTTAAAAATCAACAAACAAAAGTTATGAAAAAAGATGGGCAAGCCATGTTGTAGATATTAGAGAAAAGGAGATCATGTCCCTTTTCCAGTTTCCAGCATGTCAGATGACCAGTTTCATGATCAGTACAGAAATGATGATGTATTTTAATGAAGGTTCTTCAGGAGATTTTTCAATTTATCTACTCTTGAAATGATAAATGATGACATTTAGCTCTTTCATCTT